ATTTTTAGCTGCTCTTTGGGGATGGCTGATTTTGGCAGCATACCTTTTGTTATTATTGCAGCAGCATCTTCCTCTTAGGGCAGGGATGGGCAAGCATTTCACAATCTTGAGAAAACCTCTTCGAGTAGGTACAGGATTTCCCCAATTCTTGCCTGTCAGATTTGCAAATGTCCAGATCCTTTTCTCCTACAAGAGCAAATATAGTTGACCCTATATGCCCAGTACCAAACATGTGCTCTGATTCAAAAAATGGAGGGAGGATAGCTGTTAAACTTGCTGATGGCTTGCTTCGGTATCAGTTAAGCAAATATGGTATTGACTATTTTAATTCACTACCGAGAGAAGGAAGTTGAATGTCAGGGTTCCAAGTAATATACCCATAGCAAACAAAACTCTGAAGCAGGTAGATTGATGAAGTATGGGTTTATTGGATATATCATATTGGTACAGTTGTGATGAAAACCAACTCTGAAGGTTCCCATGGTTTTCATCTAATAAAAGTTTTCCCTTTCCCCAAATTATCAGTCACATGGTCCAATCAAGGTGCTATCTGGTCACTTGGTAACGTCACTCCTCCGTTCTCTGACCAGATGTTAGCATGTCCTTGGTTCCCAGGGAAAGTATTTTATTTTGGCTAAAAAAACCCAGCTATCTCTATTCCCCCTCCCTATGCCTAAGATCCAGAGTGGCAACACAGTATCAATATGGCTTTAGTCAGGTCAGCTTCAGGGTTGACACTGAATGGATTTCTCTTCCCAGAAGAGAAATTCCACAGAAAGCAAATGAATCAAAAGGGATCCTAGTAGAGATTGGACCTTTGAAAGAAGTCACATATGAGAAAAGTTATCTTTTGATATCATATTGCAAGAATTATTGATCCTAGCAAGCAATTTCATTACTTGCATCCGTTTTGGAGACGATTTGCGATAATATTAGTTCTTATACCACCTTTACTATTTTTACAAACAACTCGAGGCAGTAAACATATCCAGCACACTTTCCCTCTCCTATTTTCCTCACAAAAAACAACTCTGTGAGATGAGTTAGGCTGAGAGACAGTGGCTGGCCAAAGTCACTCAACTAATCCTCCACTTTCTTGCTTGGTCCCTTAACCATTAGGCCAAGCTCTTCAATTATTGATTCCTTTAAGAAAAGATTTACATATGAGTTTAATAATGCCCCCCCCCCCCAAAAAAAATCAGAATATACAATTAAAGGGTGATTAGAGTATTAATTTTAGAAACTTTTGAACGGACTGAGGACCCAAATAGACTTGAATTAACACTT